GTGGCATAAGGGGCCCAGGCAGTGGGCCGGGGGGCCGCCTTCCCGAAGGGCCTGCGCTGCTGCCGAGCTCCCTGCTCCTCCCTGGCCCCCGCGTGAAGGGAGTGGGCGAACGCCGGCCGGGCCGGCCTTTGTCAGGCGCGGGGTCCCAGAGGGGCCAGGGCTGCCGCCACTCTGGCCTCCGGAGATGAGTTAACCTCGCTCCGGGCCCTGCGCTTCTGTCTCCGCAGCGCTGTGGCAGAAGAGCCCCCGGCCCGCACCTGTTGCTCCTCTTGCCGGAGGTTCAGGAATGAAAAAAGGCCCTAAAAATAGCCTGCCCGGCCAGCCGCTTGTTGTTTTTGGGCCTCTATTCACTGTTGGTTTGCCGTACTGGGGGCGGCGGCGGCGGCGGCGGCGGCAGTGGGCTGGTGGGAAGCGACCGGTTGCTGTCACGGCTTTTCCAGCAGTCCCTTTTACGCACGCCACCCCTGGAAAATCTGCTGTTCACCCATTGCCACGTTGGTAAATTACTCGCATTGCTTACTGAGTGGTCAAAGGGGGTCAACCACCGTACAATAAATTCTGAGAACACAGCTAGCGTTTGGGAGGAGCAGAACGCAGAACCGTGGGCTCTGACGGTAACAGACTGCGCAGCAAGAGGCTCATGAGGAAGAAAAGGTTGTTCAGAAAGTTTAACCTGAAACTCTAGGGGGATTCGTGGATCAAAGCCGCCCGAGCGAACTGGGTTAGGAAGCTGCTGGCGTAGTTTCGAGATCACTGTAACTTCAGGAGTTGTTCCCCGACCAAGCTCCCCAAATTTGCCATAGCTCTGGCTTCTGAGCATTTTTCACAGCCTCCCTCTGACATACTATAAGAGCAACATGAATGAGAAGCTACTGAGGCACGGCCCTTTATGACCAGGATGTTTTCCTCCAAGAAACTCTAGATGCAAAAGCACCCCCGTTGACACAGCCCATCTTTCAAGGAAGGGCTGTTTCTGCTAGAGCACTGTCCAAAAACCTGGGTCAGGTTGTCCCCTTTTCAGAAGGACCCCCTCAGAATTAGCTTTTTCCGGCCCACTGCACTCAGGGTTTGGCTTCTGACAGCATCCTCTGAATCCAGGGCTGCGCGCATCCACCTTGTAATAGCTTCTGGCAAAGGAAGGGAGGGAGAAATTGTAACAGCCATGAACAGGCTACACAGTCCTGGGATGGGGAATTTCTCCCACTCTGCTTTTTGACTCCTCAGGATGAAAGAATGGAAAGTACCCAACAGCAGCCAGAAATAGGTCCAAATATGCTCTGTTGTATTATCAACCACCGTAGCTTTTAAAAAGCTATTCTTAAAAAATTGACCAGATACATAACAACAATACCTACTTTCTGAATGTGTTCCCTCTAGTTACTTAGAAGATGTTGTTTGTTATACAGATCACAAGACCTGAGGGCATTCATTGGCTCCTGGGGGAATGACAGAAACATCTTATATAGCCCAGCACCAGTCAAAGCCCATGAGGAATTCTAAAGTATCGCTGAGATGATGAGCGTGGTGGAAAGAGAAGGAACGGCCTCATCCGGTACTTTTGCAGACTCCCTACCCTATTGCGTACCAGAGCCAGGTCTGCAGTGAAATTTAGAAGCTAATTTCACAGCTGTTTGGACTTCCAAGCCATTAGTAGCAAGAGGACATCAGTGGAAGGAGAGCACCTCTGCAGAGCTTTATTGTGGTCTAGCCACTTCCTGAAAGCAGCTTGAACACTCAACCAAATGACTTCCTCCCTTCTTCCCCACTGCAGGGGGGAATGGCTTAGTTAATCTCAGCAACACACAAACCACAATTGTCATCCAGTGATAGTGATGTGCCAAAGCTGGATCCCCACTGACAACGTTCGGGGCCTTTGAGGGTCATCTGAGCATCCTTGGACAACAGAACCATTGGTTCCTACCCCACAGATGGCTCGGCAAAGATGCTGGATCCTAGATGGCTGTGCTGAGGAATAGCATACTTGCTAATCTCCCACGATCAGAAGCTTCTTGATTATGGAAATCAGTAATTCCAACTGGAAAAAAAATAAGGGGCAGAACAGTTGGTGTACAGGTAACCAACTTGCATCCTGGGGGGAACTTCATCCACTGTCACCAATTTTAATTGGGTAAAAAAAGTGGTTTTGAGATTGGGAAGACGGAGGAAGCTGCAGGTGGGGTGGGGAAGAGGGAATGAACATGAAAAAATAGAAAACCCATGTAAGAAAACGCTTGCTTTGACCCCAGCCTCTTTCCCCCTTCTCTCCTCCCGCTTGCATGTATTTCCCTGACTCCGCTACGTGACCCACCAGTGCTGCTTTCAACAGAAAACAGCTTCTGCACCAATGATAAAGTCATTGCGTGAATCCAGGCATGGGGGGGGAAGAAGATAGCCATTCCTTTTGGAGGGAGAGTCCCCATTCTGCCCCATTTATTGTGAAAGTGCCTTGTTTCAAGATAAATGGAAAAGGACAGGAAAAGATTGCGCTCCTTTGTGAAAGTGAGGGTATTTATTTTCAGAACCGCAGCTGTTAACCGGAGGGTTTTAACAAACGCCCCAGCAAGGAATGCTGCAGGGTGGATCAGCTGTGGGAAAGCACCCGTTGGCCTCTTCCTCCGTTGGCTGGGTCTCGGATTCCCTCGCTTCCCAGTTTCCTCATTTCCACTCAGAAAGAGAGGCAACACACCAAGAAATGTGACTGAAAAATACCAGAATTTATTAGAAGGGCTGAAGTATATAGTGTCTCCAAAGATAAACTATTACTGCGAACCACTAAGTGGAAATGCATTACACAGCTATGTAATTCCTTTAAATACATCTGTCCAAAATTCTGTTCAAAAGAAGCACACAACCATGGATGGATGGTTTGGGTCTGGTAATTCAACCAAAGGGAGAGGACACACAGGCTTCCTCCTCTGAACATCCGCGGACCAGAAGAGCATATATTCCCAAGGCAGAAAGGGAGAAGCTGGTCACATTAGATTAGCCAGCTGTTCTCAGGCTGTCCACTGAGGTGGACTTCATGGTCACGTACAAATGGGAGAGGGCGGACGCCTCCAGATCCAGTATTGGCTACCTTCTGAGATATTGGTGTTTCCATTGTTGGGAAGGTCCGTGCAGTTGCTGAGCAACCACAGGCTATGTTAATAACACGGCATGGGCGCAAGTCAGCTTTTAAGGAACACCAGTGGCAAGGCCAGGGCCTGGATTCCTGGGATTCAATGAATCTTGCAGGGTTCTCCTCTCAACTGGGAGGAGACCGAACCAAGGCGGCTGTCCCCCAACATACATCTTCTGAGCCAAAGCTCTTCTGCCCAACGAACCACGCGTTTCCGTTTCCTCCCTTCTGCATTGCCAAGGATGGTGCAACTTATGCTGCCTCCTTGCAGAGTCTCCCTACTTCTTAGCACCCAAGCTCATAGCACTCAACGAGACACATGGACCTGTAAGTTTTCCACAGTACAGCCAATGAGTTCAATGCATGCTCCAAACTAGGCAAATCACTAAGAGTACATGTTGCAGAAACCTTTCTGGAGATATTCCATGTGACTTGCCAAACATGGATGTGTAAGAGGAAAGACAGAAAGGGAGATGAGGGGAATCAAGCAAGCCTGAGAACAGACGGCTAAGGGAAATATAAAAATCAAGGATATAAAGTAGGCAATGACCTTCCTCAGAGAACATGCCCTGTTCACTTTGGGGAATCATAGTAAAAGCACTTCTTCCTGCAGAAACATTGCCAAGAAGAGAGCATTTGTTTGGAGAGTTCTCCAAATCTAGAAAAAGCACCGCAAGATGGGAAACAACTGCCGAGAAGAGACGAGAGCGAGCTAACATACAACGGAAGAAAGGAGGAGGAGAAGTTGGCAACCTGGGGCAAACTGAGTGTTTCCCTTTGCAAATTCTTCTAATACATCCTTGGCCAGCTGTTCCATTGCTTTATGTGTTTAGTTAGGTCATAGCTCCTGCGAGTCAAACTCACCCCCACATGCTGGATGCATGCAAAAATCCTGTGGTCCTCCATTCCACATAAAGCAATCAGATGTTACAAGAATGGGGCATAGCTTGTGAGGGAGGGGCCATGTTTGGTTTCCCCTGGTGGTCAAGAGGTCTTTTTGGCCTTCTCTCAACACTCTGTTCCTTCCTTCTTGCTTAGCATATGCAAAGGCCTCTGCAAATTTGTCCTCTCCTTGATGCGTGGCCTATTTTTTTAAATAAAGATTAAATCGTAACAGATATTCACAGTGTTTTATTCTCTTTCCTAGGCCCACCCAACTTCCCTGCCATTTATGACTCCAACTCCTCACTCTATATATTAGCTGTTGTCAGTGTGGCACTCAGAAGGGCTAACAGACCTTGGCTTCTTGGACAGATAAGACATAAGCTCATTCATCAACCAGGACACAAGAGGGTCATGCTGGCAGCCTGTTAATGTTTCTTATAACGGTTCTTTGGAGTTTCGCCACAGCCAGTTTTGTCACAGGAGAGCACACTGGACTTCTTCCCTAGGCCAATGCTCCCTAAGAGGTCAGGCAGCTCGTGAGTGATGGCCCTCTCGATCTTCTCCAGAAAGCAGCCTCCCATGTAGGAACACTGCTGCGCCAGCAGCTTGAAGCTGTTAATTGGGTTGACCCCAAAGAAGTCCTTGTAGGCCTCGCGATTGGGGAGGTCAAACTTGCTGACATTGGTCTTAGCCAGGATTGATTTAAAGATATAGAACTTGTCTGGATCCTCCACAATATCTTTGAATACTAGCTCTCCATCACTGAAGAAAGTCATTTTATCCTTGTAGGTTTGCAAGTAGCGATCAACTAAGAGAGCATGGATCCGAACCCGGATGGCATGTTGGCGGATGAAGGCAATCTTGTTTTCCAACCTGTTCTCAATCACCTGGTTAAGGTCTTCCAGAAGGGAGATCTCCTCCTTTGAGAAGAGATCCTGGTGGGTGTCAGCTTGGTACTCCAATGGCCAAAAGGAGCTGACATAGACCCGGGGGGGCTCAGTAACATTGATTAGTGGGGCCAGGCTCCAGAACAAGGCACCGTATACTCTCATGAGCTCTTGGGTAGCCAGGCTGTCAGCCTTGTTCAGAATGATCCTTATCTGGGATTCCCGCCCCTTCAGCTGGCGGAAAAGCATCTCCAGCTCCAGCCCGACATCCAGTTTGGTTGGGTCAAACACCACAAAGATGAGATCAGCTCGATCAATGAACCATTGGCAGACATCATTGAATGGGTAGCCTATGAGAGAAAAACGGGAGAGAACATGAGGATCTCTGAAGCTAGGGGCTCTGCTATCTGAAGCATGGTGAGAGACACTCAGCCATAGCTCCATATCATGGGAACATACCAAGGAAGGGCACTGTCTATTAGCAATTATGTAAGGAACATTTAAAAGAGAAAAATATAGCAGGCGGATCAGCCAAACTGTGAAGTCTCACAGGTTCATGTATTACAGGCAATGGCTAAAATTCTTAAATGTTTGAATCTTATTTTATGGTGGCCAATCCATACAAAAGCTTTGAACGGCAGGATGCTCTGGGATACGACACTGGCAGTTGTTTAGGGCCAAGAGTCACTAAGAGCATCATACTGGGATTTTATGTTACTTCTATTTCCTGCCTTCTAAATTATTTTGGCCCCAAGCCTCCCACCCCAATCCTGGCAGTAAACCTACAAGGCCAATAAACTGCTAACCCTTTGCTTCCATTTCCAGACATCCCAAACCTGTTCCCCCTCCTCCAAATTGTAGGACTCTGTGCATGCAATAGTATCTCCTGCTTGCCCCCGTTATGCGCTCTCTGTCTCTCTTGGTAAATAAAGCAACTGTTCCAAAATCTCGGAATGTTTTGCTTTGTGTTTTTTTCTGTTAGAGATTTGTGTCCTCTTCTTGAGCTTTTTTTCATTCTGTTTGTTTTAAGTAATGCCAAATATGTACACAGATGACCGAGGCAGCATCTTGGAATGACTGGGACATAACCAATTTGTATAACAAAACTGCTTCAGTCTTACCCTGAGTGAGCTTTTAATCATTTGTTCAAAGATGGATTGAGATGGAAAAGATAACATATTGATGACTTTTTAAGTTGGGTAGCTGAAATGCAAGTCAGAATAAATCACTTTTCCCAAGATCTTCTGGAGACTGAAGAAATGGAACTCAACCTCGCTCCTGCTGTTTCCGGTTTTCAATGATCCCGGGGGTGTCCACAAAGGTAACCCTCTCCAAAAGCTTATGAGGGACCTCTATTCCTATCAGCTTCTCCAGAAAGTTCTGCCCAAACTTCTCGAGGGGAGAGAACGAGCGGGCACTGTCTGCTGCCATTACAATGCCTTCGATGGTCTTGAGTTTAGGGCCATGCATGATGACAGTGAACTCTGAGGTGGTGGGCTCAGCCCCTGTCCATGGAGAAAGTAAAGCAAGAAGCAGGTGAGCTGAGACCGCAGGGTCCTTTTGAGGCAGTTGCCTTGCAAACATACAGTCTAAAAAAGCCCCCCTTCTTTTAAAACATGCCAGGTCTACAACTCAAAATCCCTCAGCTGACCTTCTAGAACTCTCTTAGCATGTCAGGCCCATTGCATTTTTGCTTTCCAGATCATTCTCACAGCTTAAAAGCAAACCCGCATAACGTCCCTCGTTTGCTGCTGGCTCCGCATGAACCCAGCATGACTTGTGGTTTGCAAATCCAGGCTGGTGGTGGCCTAATGGGGTGGAGGGCTGGGGGAGAGAGGTGTTGTGCAGGTCTACTTTGGTCCCTCTGCCACAATTTCCAAGGCTGGCCTGAACTTGGCCACCCTCCAACCAAGTTGTGCGGAAACCAAGCATTCTGGCTCGTTCATTCACTCTACGAAGGGGAGGGACCTAACTGCAGAAAACTGAGCTGAGAACTGGGATCAGAGGGATGAGGAATCCTGGACTGAGGGGTGGGTAGAAAGAAAGGCCACTCCTGCTGCAATTAATTGGCTCCATGAGGGGAAGCCAGAAAATCTGAATCCTTTGTGGGTCCAGGTAACCCTCTGTGTGAGGGGGGGGAGACAGAGGCTGGCAGCTCACCACACCCCCAGGCTGCGAGGCAAAGGCCTTTTTGCCCAAGGCACATGCAGAAGTGAGAGAAAGCTTGGCCAGAGCGGCAGGGGGAGAGCTGGGGCTGAGCTCCTGGCAGAGGGAGGAGAAAGCGTTCCCCACTGTGGCCAACCCTAACCTTAACCCTAACCCTAACCTAGCATGCCCTTCCTTCCTGGATTGGCTCTAGAGATGCGGGTACTCTCTGTCTGGAGGCCTCAAGGCTTCTTCTGTCCTACCCAGGAGTTTGGCAGGGCATCAGGCTACCTGTGTAGAGCTGATAGGGAGTGTCGTCCAGCCCTAGAAGGTAGTTAATCATGGTGGATTTGCCAACACTCCAGGGTCCCAGGAAGAGCACCATTGGCTTGGAAGTAATCTCTCCATCTGCAGAAGGAAGGGAAGAGCCGCGTAGGTGATGGAGCACAAAGCAGGCACAGCCCTCCCAGGCCTGCCCTGAAAGTCAGCCGTACTGACCTGGGTCTTCCACTAGCCGGGCACCCAGCCAGCCATGCTTTCCTTCCTTGGGGCAATTATTCCAGGCCAGGGGTGACCAACCCGGAGGGAGCGTGAGGAAGACAAGAGTATGGTGGCCTGTGGCTTACAAGATGGGTGGAGACCCAGCTGCCATCTTTCAGTTCTCCAGGCAGCGCCCTGGTAAGGTCCCATCTGCCAGATGTTGGCCGTAGGGAAGCTTCAGTACTGACAGCCGCCCGCTCTCTTCCCCCCCAGCTCCTTCCAGCTGGGCTCGACCTGTGGCCCTCAAGAACCGCCAGCCCCGACACTCCAGAAGAGGGAGGCTGGCCAGAGGTATGAGGGGGGAGCATTCCCCCTTAGGTCCCCAACCAGCAGATTGCCTTGGCAAATATTTACCAAGGGAGTCGTAAATTCATTTGCATACACTGCCACAATCGGATCCTGTGCGCACATGCTCATTTTAATGAGACCAGTGCAGCTATGGCTCCCAAAGAGGTGTTCAAAACAACTGAGGGGCATTATTTCCCTCCCCAGGAAAAGCCCTCTTGTTCTGCATTCACGCTGCCGCATTTCAGAAAGGGAACTCTGGCCCGCCTAGCGCTCATTTTCTGCATGATAACAAATGGCTGTTGGGTGCTTCCAGATCATGCTCCAGAATCCTCCTGCACGTGCCAGGGAAGAGGACCGTTTCCCGCTGGCCCGTGGAGGGGGCACAAGACTGGAGCACCCCTCGGCTGGCCACAGGGAGGCTAGTGTCCCTGCAGGAGGCCTTGGCAGCCCCATGGTCCTCAAGCTGCTGCACCGCCATCCGGCTGCAGCAAGAAGAAAGCTGGAGGGGGCTCCCTGTCCTTCCCTTCCTTTCCCTTCCCCCGAGGTCAGTGGGGCCGGGCGGCCTGGGTGGCCAAGGAGACCCAAGGATGGAGCGCCTTTCCCTTCCACCAAAACCAGCGCTGGAAGTGGGAGTGGGGCTGCCATTTCCTGGATCCAGGGAAGAACTCCCTGGAAGGACTTGCACCGACTTGCGCGTGACAGGCAGCCATACCCACCTGTGGCTGAAGAGCCCAGGGTGCGTCCAGGGTAAGCTGTTGGGCAGGAGAGGAGGGTCGGAGAAGAGAAAAAGGAACATGAGTAGGAAAGGGCCGGCGGGGGGGAGCGTTAGTTCAGGGCAGAAAAGAACTGGAAGCAGAGCATGGCTCTTCCAGGTGGGGACCCAGTTCCTCCCCAGAAAAGGAAACTGGAGTCATGGAGCATCCATTCGTTAGTACTAAGCGCTCATGCAGCAAAAGGAGGCGCCATCCCTAAGCGGGGATGAGCCTGGAAGCTTCTCCTGGAGGCGGCACAACCATCCCAAGCACCTCCCTCAAGCTGCAGCACCTGAAATGGGGCAGTGGGGAACCCAAAGGCTGTCGTGCCCTGGAAAAGCCGCACCTCTTTAATGTTGCGCTGGCCACAAGACCGTCGCCCCAAGAAGTGCTGACACACCAGGCCAAGCAGTGCCATTCCCACACTCCGGAGGGCATCCCCTTTGGGAAGGTGACCCTGACGTAGCAGGAGCCCCTCTGTGTCCAACTTGGCTGACGTGGGCACCTCCCGGTCATGGGAAGGCATCCACAAGTTAAGGAGAACCTCAAGGTTGGCAGAAATTCTAAAGGGGAAAACCCCAAAGGATGGGCTCCTCCCCACCAATTCAGCGGGCACTTCAATGGCCTCAGAGTGGGGATTAGCCAAAAGAGGGAGGTGGAAAGGCCCAGCGCCTTATAGGGGAAACAAAGAAGGCCCCCGGGGAGTAATATTCTGTAGCAACCTCCCCCCACTCGTACGTTTCTAATTCCGACCTCTGGAGCATCCCATTTTCCCTAAAACCTCTCCTTGCTGCAGCAGCTGTGCAGGCCCCCGGCTGCCTGGGGCAGAGCCTCCTTATGCTGAATCTGCTCCCTCATCCACCTCCAACCCTCGCAGGCAACGCAACCACCGCCAGACCTGGCAGCCCATCTGCCTTACCCGTGATTTCATGCTGTCGAAGCTCATTGTATTTGTAAGACTGCTCCAAGGGCTTGATGGAAGAGTGGTAGATTTTTCTCAGTCGCTGCAGGATGGCTGCAAGAGAGGGGGGCCAGGGAGAAGAAGGAAACATTCAGCCCGGCTCAGTAGCATCGTTGGATGTGCCAGTCAGATGGCCAGGGCCACACTTGCACCCAACCCCTTCTGCAGCCAAGGCTTCTACAGCAGGTTTGGTAGAGTCCAGCGTTGTCTAGCTGTTAGGGGGCTAGGGGGGCCTATTCCGTGGCGTGGACAGCAAGGCTGCCCCGTGAGGTACCAGGAGAGGAGCTGTCCCCTGGGGGCAAAACTTTTGCTTTCCTTGCAAGGGAAATGATTCCTGGGCAAAGATGGCAAGGGCAGGCAGGCTAGAGAAATGGGGGCTGTGTATGTGTGTGCATTTTAAAAGTTGATGTGGCACCCTCGCTTATCCTGCTGGATCTCAGGCTGGTAGATAGCAAGCCGAAGGTAACATAAACAGCCATATAACATCCTTGGAACAAACAGTTGCAACTGACTCAGATGTGTGTGTCTTAGCCAAAGGCTTTTGCCGGAGCCTCTGGAGGGCTTTCGCTTGCCAGCTGTGCAGTCCCACTGCTACCTGAATAGTCGTCAGCAGGTTTCTCCTCCTTCAACTTCAGGGTGCTCTCAATGTGGGAGCGATCCCTCCGGGGGTTCTCCACCTCTTCTGCTGAAAGAGCAAAGAGGGTATCTCAGCCCAAGGCAACCAGAGGGAGAGCCAGAGTCAGGCCCCGTTTGCAGAGAAAACAGAGATACTTTCAAGATTGTGTTCATTCGCAAGTGGGGCACACAGAGATTTTTCTTGTGTGCAAAAAATACCTTCATTTCCCCAGAATTTCTACTGGTGCCAAATAGGCTGGGGCTTCAGGCCCAGTGGGGAGCAAAGCTCAAACTCCAGCCTTTGACGTCTGATGACGGGCAAGGGCAAGGAATGGCACCATGCTCGCTTTCGCAAGAACAACAGGAAGGGTTTCTGTGGCTTTTCCATGCAGAATGGGAAACACAGGCAGAATGCAGCGTCCCTTTACTTTGCCTAATGGCAGGACTGGCTGTCCTGGGCCTCCTGGCTGGTATGGGGGCTGGTGGGCGCTGCTGGCTCATCTTTGTGAGTCGGTCCAGGCAGAAAGACCTCTCTGGCTAACGGCCACGCTTGCCTTTGCGGGCCACTGAGCCCTCTCTGGGAATGCTGTCTGTGAAAACTGGGCACGTCTCCCAAGGCAGCTCCTCCGCAGACAGGCTTTTCCCAGAGCTTAAATAGCCCCTGGACACAGTCTGGTGACACTCTGGCACCAGCTGCACACGCAGGCAGCACATGAAGAGCAAACGTGGCTCCTCGCCTCCCCATCGACAATCGCTGGCATGACATTCACACAGCGCTAGCTACTTCATTCCAAGGAACCCCTCCTGACAGCCCCGTGCTAGGGACAGGCTGCCTCGCGTCCTAGTTTGGCCAAACCCACCAGGTTGACAAAATCAGTGGCTGCCTCCTCTGGGCCACGTGGGTCTGCGTGGCCCCAACAGAACCCACTGTGGGGAATTCCATAGGTCAGAGAGCCAAGGAATGAACGCAGGTAGCTGATCTGTCTCTGGGGCCAAGGAGGGCCGTACAAGCCTCTTTAGACAACGTGGCTCTACATTAAATCTTTTTTAGACTCTAAACTGGGAACACAGTCAGTTCTTTGCAACTGCACGCACACAGAGCTTTCTGCCGCTTGCCGCGTTTTATGATGGTTAAGAAACAGCAAAATGTGGTAGAACTCTTGCCTAAGTGCAACTCCTCTGTCTGGCCTGGCAAGCCCAGGAGTGGCATGCCGTTGCTCAGAAAGACTAAATTGGTCATCTCTAGTTTAGGATCTAAAGGAATTGGTTAGGTACAGCCAAGATGGGCAAAGACATTATGGACCTTGGACGTAGCAGATGTGAGAAAACAGAACCGTAGAATCATAGAACGGAAGGGACCTCGGGGATCGTGCAGTCCAACCTCCTTCCCAGAGCGGAACCCACTCCTACAGCATCCTGGCAGATGGCCATCTGCCCAGACCCGAGGCCACGTTGGCTGGCAGGAGCAAATTCCACGGGGCACTCAGGAACCGTGGCCCGAGCAAGACCTCCAGCCTTTGCAACCCTGAAGCTGAAGCAGCGCCAAATCCAGCTGAAGGGAACAGTGCTGGGGTGGGGCGAGGTGGGCCTCCCGCCCATGGAAGCTCCCTGCCCTGGCAGCCAGGAAAGGCAGGAGCTGCTGGCACTCTGGCGCTGCCCGGGGCGGCAAGAGCTGCCGGGAGAGCTTTTGCGCCTAGAAAGGGGGTGACCATCCAGCAGAACAGAGCCCCAAGGCTAGCTTTTTGCTCTCTCCTTCCCCTTCTGGAAATCGGAGGCAGCCGGAGACACGGACCTGCGGCCTCTTCGGAGCAAGCAGGCGAGAGAAGCGATCCTGTGCTGACCTATGGAACTCCCTCTCCCAACAGAAGCCATGATTTAGTCTGAATTTCCACGAAACCTGCCAACTGTGTTTCTACTTGAACTGCCTCTCGCAATAGCCTGATCCCCCACCTTTTGTGTCAGGATGTGAAGGAGGAAAGCAACTGGCATAGGTAAATGAGGACAACCAAGAGAACTACTTTCCTGATGAGCTTGGTCTCAAGGTGGGCTGACCCACAGCTCCCTCTGCTGGGAGTGGCTGTGCCTGGCTGGGTGGCAGTTTCAGTTCCTCTCTGCATGACTAGCACTGGTCTGAGGGTGTCCTCCCTGAGAGGGCCCTTTCAGCTTGTGCTTCATGCAGGCCACCTTCTGGGACTGCCCACTTCAGTCATCTTCTTTGGACTCCACCTCACTTCCCACTTCCCCTTGGCCAGCACCCTCTACCTTGCCCTCCTGCCCCGCCTGTGCCTCCTCTTCTGGGCAGATACCACCTTTAGGTTCCTTTCTCTCTGCTTGAGGAGCCTCCTCTTCAGCCGTTTTTGCAACTTCTTCTGCTTCTCCTACCCCATTGCCATCTGGTTCCCCTTCGCCAAACCCCACTCCTTCCACGGAAAGGTGGGTGGCAGTTCCCACTTTGGCCACTACAGCTCTTCCTTTCCCATTAGAGTCTTCTGGACCCCCTGCCACTTCCCTTGTCGCTCCTTCCTGTCTTGTATGGGCACTTTCTGCCTCCTCTGGCTCTCCTGATTCATACACGTCCTTCAGAACAGCATCGGGTTTCCCCCAGGGTTTCTCTCTTGGTGAAGCATTGCTCAAGTGTCCTTCCTCAGGGCTGCCTTCCAATTTTTTATCCAAGTCAGGGGAGTCTGTGAGGTTATCATCCTGCTGGGCCTCAAAAGAGTGGAGAAGATCCTGAGCAACATCTTGGTTTCCTCCTGGGAGAACACCTTGGACATCTTCCTCAGAAGGGACCCCTTTCTTCTGTGGGACATTTTCTTCAGCCTGTGATCCCTCCACACTAGCTGCAGGAGACTGCTCCAGCTGTCCCAAGCTACGCCCACCTTCTTCTTGACCATCCATCCCTTGCCCTTGGCCAAGGACCTCCCCTGGCTCAGTCACGTACGCTCCTTTTTCGTCCAGGTTGCCCCTTTCTGCGCTGTTCACCTCAGGACCTGTATTGGTGGAGCCATCATCCTGAGGCTTTCCCCCCAGATCTGGGGAAGCCTTCTCCTGATTGCCCAAGAACTGGAGAGGGATTCCTGTCCCGGCAAGATCTCCATAGAGCAGCCTCTGCTTCTTCACGAGACTTGGGTCTCCAGGCAACAAGCCGCCCTCAGCAAAGTTGGCAGAGTCTTCTGCGCCCTCCAGGGCAGAAACTTGCAGTTCTAGATAGTCAGAACATGATCAGTCAGTTTCATCTGTGCCTCAAATTGCAAATGTGCTTCTGCATGAAAAACGGAACTGGACTCTCCCATTCAAAGGATGCTGAAAAGGCGCATTTTGAGGCTCTTCTAAATCCATTTTCAGTCCTAACCTGACCAGCAGGCTTAGACTCTAGCTTGCATGGCCTGGTCCTACCATAAGCCAGGTGCAAACCGTTTTGCCAGGGGTGGGTTGGGGAGAGTGGGAATCCATCTTGGAACACAGGTTGCTCTTAAGAAGCCTCCCATCCACCACAGCTACTGTCCCTTCCAGTCTACCAAGAAATACAGACGGAGGAAGTATTTTTGGAGGTTTTAGCATATTCAAGATTCCACAGAGGCCTGGCCGGGAAATATGCAACTGGCTTTTCCCCACCTAACAGCCTTCCTGCTTTGTCTTCTGCTGAACAGCAGAGAAGAATAAAGGGGGGAACCACCAGGATATTAAGGAGAGCTTTGCTTGTCCAGACCGGGAGCATGCAGAACTGTGGCTAAGAAGTCCAAACCATCTGAACAGACTAGCAGGGCTGGCACAGGCTAAAACTGCAACCATCTTGGCAAAGCACATTCTCTTCCAAGGTGCCATGCGAACAGAGAAGGCAGCTCTGGAGATGGGATTATTTCCCCCTCCCCCAGGGGCCTTGCCAGGGGGTGGGGGTGTTTCTCTTCGGACTGGAAGAGCCAGTGCCTTCTGGAAAACTTCCCTCCTGGCTCATCCTTCACCAACACTGCAGAAGCGACCCCAGGAATTTGTCCTAAAAACCTCCTCTGGGGAAGCAAAGGGCTGTTTCCTAACCAGGAAGGCAGATGTGACAGGACCTACCGGCAGCAAGTGGCAAGAGGACTCTCCTCCGCCTCTCCTGGAAAAGGGGATGCCAACCCGCTGAGGGGTAGCCCAGATGTTGCTGCTGCTGCTGCTGCTTTATGGGCTCTGAGTCAGGCCTGCCAGCTGCAAGGGGATTTGTCCAGTTGCCCACAGGAAGGCTCATCTGCCCTCTCCATGGGCTTCCAACTGTCCCATGCTCCTCTGCCTCCAGATGCTGAATTAAACCATACTGGGGCTCCGTGGTGGTTCTAGCAGAGGCAGCTTTGACCCAGAGGCATAATCCCCCCCCCCCCCCCCGCAAACCTGACACACAGAGCAAGTCCTACCTTGTGGAGTCCTGGGGTTCTCTGAGCTTGGTGGTTTTCTTGCAGACGTTTCGTTCCCTGGCTAGGTAATGTCTTCAGTGCTCAAGATGTTACCAGCTAGGTAATGCAACGTCTGGAAGAAAACCACCAAGCTCAGAGGACCCCAAGGACTCCGCAGTTCAGCCCTGAGCTACAGAGGTTCTCTTCCAAAGGTCCTACCTGTGAGGAAGCCCATCACCAGCCACTTTTAGTGCATAAGAACCCAGGGAGGAAGGGCACCCTAGCCATGCGATGTGGATGTGCCATTAAAAGCCCGGAGGGGTCAAACTGGCACCCAGAAGGGGAAGGCCGGGAGGCACCCTTTCCCCGTGCTCAAGGCTTCGTGGGAGGAAAAGGTCCCGGTCTGGGGATGCTGCCTCTGCTCCTGGGAGGAAGGGGGATGTCTGCGTGGGGGTGGCCTCAAATAGCTTCGCTCCCTTGAAGAGAAACACCTGGATTGACAAAGGCCCCCTCAAATTGCCTCTCTTCCTCCTGCTGGCTGGGGGCTTTGTCACATCTCCTCAAGACCACCCGAGCGGATGCCAGAGGCTGAAGAGGATGGGGGCAATTGCGGCTTTTGATTGCCTTCTCCCAGCGAGACCTTCTGAGTGTTTCTCTCTACGGATCAGCCCCTGCGATCGCAAACTGCACAGGAGACTTCTCCTGAGCAGGACCCAGCCCTGCCTTGGTTCTACTCCCCTCGTGCCAAAACCCAGGGCTCTGGGTCACCAGTGCAAAGCCCAAAGTGCTCTAGGAGGGGATCAGAAGGGCAAGGGGGGCAGTCCGGCCCTCCATGGCCTGTGCAAGCAGCCCCTCCCTTGGCTCCTCCAAGCTGGAGGCCTCTGGCTATATCGAGCACCAAATTGTGCTGATCTGCAGATGGCGAAGGACGCTGGCTTTGCAGCAAGCGGGGTGAAGGTGTTGAGCTTAGCACCAGCAGCCTTCCTCACCGGCTAAAAATATCACTGGCCGTAGGCGGGGGAGGGGGAAAGTTGCCATTGGGAGAAGCCCAGAGCCAAGAAACTCCCTTTCCTTGTTCCTCACCCCCCGTCCCCCGAACGCGAGTTTGCAGGCGGGGGACCCAGAGCCTGCGAGCCAGCTGCAACCTGGCCCACCCGGTCTCTCCTGGCATAGGGGGCCGCAGGTTTGCTGGGAGGGGCGGAAGTCTCCCTGCTGTGAGCTGGACAGGGCTCCCGTCCCGAAATAAGTGGGGAGTCACTCCCTGGGTGTTGCGGCGGGGAGGGGGGATACTTCTGCCCCAGGAGTCCCCAGAGAGGCAGGACGGAGGGGGGCGCAGACTGGCCTAGCAGCCCATCCCAGCTGGCCCCTTGCATGCAAGCCTCCCCGTGACCCAGCCCTTGGGCACTGCCTGGGCACTGTCTCCAGCTCTTCTCTCAGCCTCCCGCCAGGTCTCTTAGCACAAGGCGGTGGCTGTACCCGGAGCACCCCTGGCCAGCTCTGCTCTCTGGCAGCACCATCCTAGGGGGACGTGGCTTCCCACCACCCGGGACCAGGCCTGTGAAAGGAGCAGAGGAGCGTTCCCACAGGCAGAGAGGGGCTCAGGAGTGTGTGCCACGAAGAGCACAGGGGCTGCAGCACCTGCCCCCTGGCTCCCCCACCCTGCCGCCCTGTCACGCCTTCCTCCCAGCCAGCGAGAGGCTCTTCAGGTCCCTGGTCCTCTGCTGGGGCCTTTGTGCCTCGCCAGTTCAACAGGCCGAGCGTGGCCTTGGGAAGGCACAGCCGGGGTAGGACAACAGCTCCCAAACACAAAGCAAAGGGCGCCAGAGGACACTTTGCCTGTCCCAAGGCAGTGATCCAGGCCACCTCCCCTGCTTGGCCTCGGGCACACTTTGCTGCCGGAAAGGCTTGGGGTGGTTCCAGACAAGCTTGGGGACAAACATGGAGCTGCATGTCCCCCTTGGCCTACAGCAAAAGGTCTGCCCACTGCTCTGGGAATGCCAACGAAGCCACTGGCTTAGAGCTGCTGGAGGGCAAGGCTGGGACCTGTGCCAACCTCGCCAGTCCGAGGAGCTCCATGCCCACTCAAGATGAGGGCTGGGGGCCCGCAGCTGCCCGCACATTTGGTCAGCCTTAAATGAGCAGGTCATGGGACCTAATTCAGAACAGAGAAACACCGAGCAGCACTCGAGCGAAGAACTTGGTGGACACAGCAGGCTGTGGCCAAGCAACCCGACCCCGAGGGTCCCAAGGGGAGCAGCAGCTGCAGAGGATGGGTCTTACGCCAAGGGTGGTCCTTTTGACATTTTCCTGAGCAGAACCATTGTCCCCAAGGGACCGTCCCTGCAGCTGAGCCCTTGCAGCACGCCTGCACACATGGGGAAGCGGGGAGCTTCTGTCTGCACCTGGCCTGGGGCCCTCGGGCCACTGGGATCTTGCTTGGGCCCCAACATGCCAGGGGCACCCCGGCCATGTCTACCAGTCTGGGTCGGTGGAGGCGTGCCAAAGGCACCCAGATTTGAGACTCGCCCACACTGTCGGCCCGAGCGAGTCTAAGTTGTGCCCTCTGGTGGCCAGATTCAGAACAGCTTAGTGGCTGTGGCAAAGGGCAGAGGAGCACAGTTCCAATTTTCTGTTGGCGCTCTGGAGAAAAGGGGAGAGGCTCCTGCTTTTCTGGCCTTTGCCTGAGAAGACAAAGAGGCCCAGCTTCCCCTCCCACTCCCCCATGCTTGGTCTCGCACACCAAGGGGCGGATGGGCAATAGGAAGGGGCAGGCTCACTCTGGAGGGAAGCGTGAAGTGCCTGGCAGCAGGGGCAAGCTCATCTCCACCCTGCCCCGAGGCGCACACCCAGCTGCGCGGTGGCTTTCAAAACCTTTCTGGGAACCCTGCTGTGAAGGGGAGGCCCCCTCCCAGTGTTCCTGCCGGCTGAGCCCTGGCAAAGGGCCTGGCTGAGCATGTGGAGAGGAGACAGCTTCTAGCACAAGCTCCCCCGGGAGCCAGTCTGGCACAGAGCTCCAGTGGGGACTTCCTGCTCTGCAGCCAGCCAGAGGTCTGCCCTACCTCCAAAGGGAACCTGACTGAGCACCCATGGGCTCCCTTGCCCCCCCAGCAGATGCCAACCAGAGGAAGCACACAGCTGGCGAGCACTGCCAAGAAAGAAAAGAAAGTGCCACCGAAAGTAGGTCAGCAAAGCACAGAGAACGAGAGTGCTCCGTACACCGCCTCTAGCTCCTGAACGAAAGGCGAGACGGACAGCGAGTTCTGCATGAATAACCGGCTGAGTCCGGTAAACTTTCAGCTCCCCGCCACTAGCAGCTAGCTCAGAGAGGTGCCCAGCCACGGCATAAACCAGACCCTGCTTTCAGTACTCAGACGAGAAGGACGCTGCTGAACTCCAGCCACTCAATGCATCCAAGAAATAATTTTCCAGGTCACAGAATGCACCCCCCCCCGCACCAGCGCCAGTCCCGCACTGCTCATATGGGAAAGGTAATGCGTGGAAGTGCCAGATACCATTCTGGGGAGCGGGAGGGGGCAACCTGCCCTTGGCCACCATGTGCCCCACATCCAGTGGTGGGAAAGGCTCCATCCGTCTTTGCCCTTCTGGGTGGACCATGATGGAACCGGGAAAAGGGGGCCAGGCCCCCCAGGGGGGTCCTGCATCCACACAAGCCCTGTTGCAGGAAAGGAAGGGAGGGAAGAGGAGGTGGGCCCCGGGTCTCGCCTGTCCACCTCCCTTTTGTTCTGGGGAATGATAAAAGATAGCCTTAAAAGGATGCGGTCAGTCCAGCACGCCTGTGACAGTGCGAGAAGGCAGCAGCTGAGCTGGGGGGCAACGTGGAAGGCGGGAGTGACTCTGAGAGGCTTTGGGGGTCCAGTTACACGCCTGTTTCCATACTTAGCTCTGGGAGGCAGCTGGGAGGCAGCGCCCAGCCAGCAGAACCAAATTAACTCAAGGGCACCCAAGGGGAAGGCCAGCAGACACCGCATCGCACTGCTGACGGGCCCTGAGGTGGGGAGGGGCGGCCACTGCCCCCTTCAGATACAGGTGGCACCTGGGGAAGCAGGTCCCCGAGCTGCAGAGGAGAGAGGCACAGGGCCCTCCCCAGCAGGACACCAACAGACCTCCTGGCCCAGCTGCTCGTCTCCCCACAGCCCGCAGCAGCCCTCCACGCGGGCCTCATGGCAGACCCCCCCATGGGCCCGGGCAGGTTGGGAGAGAGCCCTCCCCATGAGCTCAGGGCCCTCCGGCCAGGGGACCCTACCTGCTGTCCCAAGGAGCAGGAGTGGCACCACGCAGAAGCAGAAGAGCCTCAGTCCAGTCATGGTGGCTGCCAGGAGCCCGCTCCCCTTCCTCTGCGCTATTTATACCGGGACGGCTCTGGAGCAAGCAGGTGGCCGCTCGGCCGCAGGGCCCACGCAAGGGATGGTGTTGGTGCTGGACTGCCGGAGGCCCCTCCCCGCCTGGCCACTTCAGCCCAACGTCAGCCAGTCAGTCCCCCCCACTGAGAGGCAGCTGCCAAGCGGGGGGGGGAGGAGGAGGGGCAATACAGCAGCTGCCCAGGGCTGAGCCCAGAGCCAAGGTCCCAGAGGACGGGCAGATGGGGGGGAAGGGGCAGGGACCAGCTCTTATCGCCCAGCGCCTCAGCAACAGCAGTCAAACCACTACCCCTCCTAACTTGGCACAGCATTCATGGCACCAGGAGGAGCTGGGAAGCCCCCACAGCCTGCAAAATGTACATGGCATCAAAGCTGGTAGCCTTTGGGACAAGGAGCGTAGAAGGCAGACAAAGGGCATGGGTTTGCCACAAAAGAGAACATGGTGATGTGTGCCTGCAGGTGTCAGAATAATGCCATCCAGCTGCATCTGGGGACTAGTGACTCCCATGCCAAAAACCTGCCAACAGGCTCGGGTCCCAGAGAAGGAAAGGCAGGACTCTCGGGCTGGGTGGGAGACGCAGCCGCATCCTCTGCCTGCCACAAAGACCGAAGAGCCGCCTGTGAACCACACAGCTTCCACGCTTCTGCCTTTCGCTGGTGGTGTGCCCCACCTCTGTAATCAGCTCGCACACGCGGAAAAGTGGGAAGGGATTAACTTAGACCTTGCTTTCTGCTGCAAAGCCCAAGAGCTCCCCAAAGCAGCTGCCCGTGAGGGACACGGAGGGGGCGCTGCTCTCTCCAGGCGCGCAGCTCCAAGAGGGCCCTGCCCTGGGTCACGTGATGCAACGAGGCGTGAGGCCGGGGTGCAAAACCAGTCCCACCACCCCCAGCCCCGTTTGGTCCACAGGCAGTGCGGGGGGGGGGGGGGGGGAGGGGAAGCATGTTAGAGAGGCTCCCCCTGCTGGGCACCACGGAAGCTGCACACAAAGGAAGCAGGAAGGTGCCTGTGAGCTGAATTCCAGAACATCTGGAGACGGGCTTCGTGGAAGTGGCGCTGCCCGCCCCCCACATTTCCTGGCGTGGGGACAGCAGTCTATGCTGACAGTCCGGAGCGCTTCTAATCGACCTTATTCCTCTCCTGGTCCCTCCAATCCCACCCCCCAAATTTCTGGCCTCCTTCCCCAACAGTGGCAAAAGACTAACAACCCAAACAGGGCATATAAAAAACAAAGTACAAACTTTATTTTGTTTCTTTACAAAGGCACGAGCCTCATTTTTCCCACTTTCTTAACAAAATATAATAGCATCTCAATGAACACAAAGACCCAAAACTTGTAAAAAAAAAAAAGGACAAAAAAAAACCATATAAAAATTATGAAAGAAATAGCATCTCAATGAACACAAAGACCCAAAACTTGTAAAAAAAAAAAGGACAAAAAAAAACCATATAAAAATTATGAAAGAACAAAGGAACAGCTGTGGCGGGGGGGGAGCCTACCAAAACCAACCGGCCGAAACAACCCTGGCCAAGACCTCTGTCCAAAATGGCAGGGGATGGGGAGGCGCAGAACGCGACAACAGCCACCGCCTCTTCGCGGGCCCAGCCGACCCACGGGACGGATTTAAGTGCTTCAAAGAACGAAACCACCCCCGAGGAGAGGCCCCAGGGTCCATGCTGAGCAGGCCTCCCTCCTGGGCCGTAAAGAAAGCCCCAAACCTGAACCAGCCCCAGAGGACAGAGGGGACCTGGGGGCCTCCCTCTCCGAGGGGCTTGTGTGGAGGGCTGGCGAGGCAGAGACGGCCCAGAGACCCACTGCCACCCGGAGCGCTTAGAGGGCCCCAGGTGGGTCCCTCACACCTCAAGCGGCCGGGAGGCAAGGCTGGGGCAGCCCGCCACTAGAGGAGGGCGAGGCCACCTTGAACGACCCGCAGCCAGAGGCGCCAGAGAAAATCCATCCTTTGAGCCGGGGAGCCAGCACTGGCCCCTGCCACGCCCCATGGGGGGCGAGCCCCGGAGAGCCCAGCTGCTTGCGCCCTGCCAACCTCCCAGCTGCTTTGCACTGAAGAGCCTGACTTCCAGCTTGTCCCCACCCTATCGCTCCCACTTACAGTATTGAAAGGTCACAAAAGAGACCCAAACGTTGTGGTATTTTGTAAAAATTTCAGCGTATTTCCTGAAGTCCCCTTGCCCCCACCCTGCTTGCCCTCCCGCTGCCAGGCAGGGGTCAGGGCTTCTTGGCCTTGCTGTGCTCCACGGAATCGTCGTCCTCCGCCTCCAGGTCAGAGGCTGTGTCCGAGTTGGACGGATCCAGGCTGGCCCGGGCAGGGGTCACAATGACTGCGCGCCGGCGCTGCTCTTCCTCCTCGAGCAGCTGCTTTTCCTGAGTCCCCTCGATGTGCTGGATCGCCTGCAGGGAGAGAGCAAAGTGAGAGCCCGCTGGCTTTCTGCCCAGAAAGGACCTAGGCCTCCTGCTGGGCACTTCCTGCTCCAGGATCGGCTGCCCACCGCCTGGGTGCAACCAAGGACCTTCTCAGTGGACGGGTCCGAGCCCCGTAAAGGCTGCTACGCTGAGAGGACGGACAGCCACTGGGCACGGCTGAGCCTTTCTTCCCACCCCTCATGGGACAAATCACTCGGCGCGCTGCTATTGGCCCACACCTGTTATTCCCCAGTTGCAGATTCTGAATGCAACAGGCGAGGCCCTGGCACTGGGCTGCCGCAGAGGATGGGGACCGGTTTCAAGTAGAATTTCTTCCCGGGCAGCCCTCCTCTCACCAAAGGGCTTCAAGTGCCCTTCTGCGGCCAGACTGGCACAGGGAGTGAAACAATGATGCACCCTCATGGGAGGCTGGCCACACCGGTGACTCTGGGCTTCCTGGGTCACTTTTTATTCCTGGAGCCACCCGGCTGGACACTATTCTCAGGGTGCGTCTGCCGGGGCTGGTGGCCGTACATTCCCAGGGAGAGGGCCCACTTCCCAGCCGGCCCCTCCCTGCCTTTCCCCAGGGCAAGAGCCCGACTCGGGAGTCGGAGGAGACTCCGGCTGCACTCTGCTCTCACCTGGACGATCGTGTCCAGGTTCTGCCTGGACGTCGAGATAGTGTTGATCACAGAGGACGGACCCATGGTTACCACAGTGACGTGGTGGGAAGGCGGAGGTGGTGCAGGCACAATCACAGTCGGGTGCTGGGTGGGTGCCGGGGGGCCATGTGCAGGTAGGAGCTGGCGAGGAGAGAAGGATGCCTGTCACGCCTCCCCGACAGCGTGGGACAGCAGGGCTCTAGCGCCTCGCCGACTGCAGGGGAAGGCACCCTGGGGTTGAGCCAGAGCGCCTGGAAGGCTGCTAGGACAGCTGAGGGCCTGCGACGCCCAGGTGGACCTCAGATCCCCTTTTCTGGCTGCTCTCCTCAACACCTGACCCCAGAACCCGAGCCAAGCCTGGAGAGCCGGGAACGAAGGCCGCCCCCACGCCCAGGGCCACAGAAGCCCTGGAAGCGCGGGCGAGTGAGCAGAGAGGTGGATGAGGGCACAGACCTCCAGGGCCCACGTTCTGGATGTTTCTGAAGCAACAAGGTGGGTGCAGTGCCCAACTCCAGCTCTTTGGTGAGGCCTGCTTTTTGGGCAGTCACTCTGGCTCTCAGCTGGGCTCCCCAACTCTGTTTTCCTCCCTGCCAAGCGCCCCTTGCCCCCACGCGTCCACTAGGCACTTCGGGGGCAGTGCCATGCCTCCATGTCGCCCACGGCCCGGAGCGAGCACAACCCTCTTCGCAAGGGGCCGGGAGGGGGACCAACCGAGGCTGCATGTCCACCCCGCCAAAGCGCTGCTGCTCAGATGCCTCTGGGTGCTGTGGGCTCACCTGTTCCTGCTGCTGGAGCTGCACCTGTTGGGCAATCACCTTCAGCTTCTCCGGGTACAAGTGGGCCTCCAAAGAGCGCACCTACCAGCCAGCCAAAGAAAGACCTGATCATGGGGGCTCAGCCCACCCTCTGAGATGGGCAAGAGATGCTGTGTATGCACAAGGGGCCTGTGGCTGCTCCCCTCCCCTCCTGGGTCCCCTGACCCCTTGGGGCTTTCATTCGTCAGCTGATGGAGAGGATGTCCAGAAAGTGACCCCCAGACCCTCCACTGGACCCTGCAGAAGAAGGGCACACCTGCTCCTCCAGCATCATCCGGACCGAGCGCTCCTTGTCCAGTTGCTGCCGGAGCTCGATCATCTCCCGGCGCAGGTCCTCGGCCTTCTCGTCCTCCCAAATGTCCGGGGACCCGATACCTTCGTCCTTGTCCTCCGCTCTCCGCCGCTTTGGGGAGGAGCCGCTGAACTCCTGCCAAGGAGCTTCAGGTTGAGGGTGGGCAAGCGCAGGGAAGCCAGGGGTGGCAAGCGGCCACGGACCAAGCTGATGCAGGGAAAGGGCCCAGGCCTCCCAGCCCCAGGCCGCCCCTGGCACCTACCTGGATGAACCGCTTGAGCTGAGCGTTCTGCTGCAGCAGGCGCGTCTTCTCCTGCTCCAGAGAAAAAATGTACTCCGCCGTCTGCTGAAGGATCGCTGCCTGGCCGAGGAGGAAAGAGGAGTGGAGAGCTCCAGAGAGGGCCAGGCCGAGGCAGTCTGCCGGAGTGCGGTGTGCATGCGCGGGACTGGCACCCCCCAAGGAAGGCAAGGCTGCTCCTGACCGCCCAGCTCCTCGGTCGGTCATGCTTCTTCCCTGGTCAACTAGCTTCCAGGGGGCAAGCCCCTTCTCTCATTCTGGTCCCAGAGTCTGTACGCATTGCAACGGCTTGTAGCTGCTGACTGGCACCTTATCGTCCCCCGGGAAGCCACGGCTTTTCTCTTCCTTTCTCCTGCCCTGGCTCCCCTTTCAGCTGCAGCATTCAACCCGTGGAGGCTCTTGGGTCCCGTCTCCCCCATCCTTTTCCCCGCAAGACAAAGCCCCAAGGCCATCTGCCACAGAATCTAGGACACGGAGTCGGCCAAAGTCCCTTGTGAGCAGATCCCCACCTGCCTTTGCTTGGCCTGGCAAAGACACTCCTGGCCCTATGCAGATGCCGCGACTGCAGCTTCGCCAGCAGCCCCAAATCGACAGGGAGGTTTAGAGCTGCTGGGCTTCCTCTGAGGCTTCTCACCTTGCTGAGCTTCTCCCCGTCGGTGTGAGGGATGAGAGTTTTCAGCGACTGAAATCCTGCATTGATGCTCTGCATGCGCCGTCGCTCATTGCTGTTAGCGATCTCCCTGCGTATCCGTCGCTCCTGGTCCCTCTGCGTTTCTGGAGTCAGCGGGATGTTGGCCAGGCTGGAGCGGACAAGCCCAGGTTAGAAACGGGGCCCTTCAAGGCTCCCCGGCCAGCAACTGGTCCTAGCGCCCACGCCAGCTTCTGAGTCCTGCTCTGTCCCCACGTTTGCCCCACGGCCTCTCTTGGGTGCCAACTGACTGCCTCCCTTCCCAATGGGATCTCCCGTAGCCCAGAGTTCTTGCCTGAAGCCTCCCTTCCCTGGCACGCTTTCCTGTGATGCCAAGGGAGATTCCATCTGGGGTGGGGGCTCCCAAGGTGGCTTGGGTTTCAGAGATGCCCTGCGGACTGTCGCTTGGGCGGGCAGACAGAGCAGACCTGCCTTCGAGGCGGCTTTACTTGATCCCGTTTACTGCCTGGGGCTATGGGCAAAAGGGCAAATCTGGCCATTGAATAACCCAGCGGCTCAGCCCAACAGCGCCCTTTGAGAGAACGGTGCGTACTGGCGCATGCCCCGTCGGTCTGTCGGCACCATATGGGTTTAAAAGAACCCAAGGAACCTGCTGCTCCAGTCCGTCTTAAGTCCCTGGCTCCATTCCCATGAGGTACTTGACCCAACTATTGAACTGGGACCCCTTTGCGCGCAGAGGACAGTTGCGTTTTACATCAGTAGCAGCAAAAATAAAATTGCATTTGCGCGCGACTGTGCTCTTTCCCCGAGGAAGGCCAGAGGGGGCAGAATTCTCTGCAAACTTTATTCACGACCGCAAGGGCAAGAAGATGGGTTCTGGGCTCGCGCGACCACCGGTGCCCTCCTGCGCAAGGAAAAAGCACGCCTTGGTATCCCCCGCAAGCACGGCCCCCGCGGGCACGTGCTGAACGTGCCCGAACACCAGCCGGGCACCGGTAAACTATTCTCCTGCAACACGGCCTCTCTCCGCCCATCCCATCAGCAGCCCCGGAACTGACCG